GACCTGGAATTGAACCCTGACCTCCTGGTTCATAGGTTGATGCTCAACCACTGAGCCACGCCTGCCGGGCTGAAACGATAGATCTTAGTGCAAAGCAAGGGTCAAGTCCAGCCCTTTGCAGGATGCGTCTTTGAACATAAGTAAACAGAAAGCCAGGCCACCATGCTCCGATGGACAGCGCCCGTCCTAGACTCGTGGTGACTGACGCTGACAGTGCCCTGCCCAGCAGCCTCAGGCAGCATGTTCAGGGCCTAGCTAACGTGCGTGTCCTCCACACCCAGAGCCGCCCCCGTGGGAAGCTGGGCTTCCCCGTCGTAACACCAGCACCTGATGAACGGTGAACCCGCCGGCGCTACTTCCATTCCCAGCGCCTGATGGGGGCGTAATGGCCACCGTTCCAAGCAGGGGTTTCTTCATGGAGAGGCCAGCAGCTGACCGCCACCCTGTGAAACAGCGAGAAAGGTGACTGATCTTTGTCCGGCACCTGGGCAGGAATGCAGGTCTTACGGCCGAGATGTGGGTAGCAGAGCAGCCAAGACGGACCGCCTGGACTCTGCGCTGGGGCCGCGGAAATGCTCCGGAGCCAAGCACGTGGAGAATCGTAGAGCCCGGTGCGTGGGTTCTGAGTTACCGCCATCGCCTCTGACGGAGTCCTTTAACGGGTGAAAGGGACTCGGTGACCACGTCGGGAACGCAGGCGCGGGGCTGAGGCCGACAGGCGTGGCTCAATAGAGCGAGTGTTTCCTTCTCCACGTCTCTGTTCTGGACAGGTGTCGTGGACAGGTGACGTGAACAGGGGGCGTGGACAGGGGACGTGGACAGCCCCGCCACTAGTGACCGGCTGCATTCAAGGGAAGCAAAAGAGCAAAGTGAAGTAGTTTTTCATTTAAAATACATTGGGAGCTGGTGGCCCGATGAGTTCCATTAAACGGGGAGTCATGTCGTGCCCCCAATCACAGGTCTCTACAACCTCAGGACACGCTGGTTTTTTTAAAAATATATTTTTATTGACTCCAGAGAAGAAGGGAGAGGGAGAGATACAAACATCAACGATGAGAGAGAATCACTGACCAGCTGCCTCCTGCACGCCCCCCACTGGGGATTGAGCCTGCAACCTGGGCCTACGCCCTGACCAGGAATTGAACTGTGACCTCTTGGTTCCTAGGTCAATGCTCAAGCACTGAGCCTCCCAGCCGGGCGGGACACACTAGTTTTTACCTCCGGGCTGCTTCCCATCAGGACAGAACACGGGGTGGGCAGAAGCAGGGCCCAGAAGCACAGCTTATTCTTGTTACACCAGCCGCAGCGGACCTTTCGTCTGTCACACACCTAGGCCACGCGTACCTTCCCACGTCCAGGCCGCCTGGATGGAAAGAACAGCTTGTGTGGCCACACAGTGTGCACCGTCAGACAGCTCGTCGGAGCGCAGCCGCCCGGACTTGGCAGTGACGGCTGATCTCGGCCTCGAGGCTCCCCGTGCGGCCTCGGGCTGCTGGCTGTTCCCCGCGGCCGGTCCTGTGCGGCGTCTCTCTCCTTCCCCATCTTATTAACCACACGTGATGCTGAACAGGGGGTGCCCCCAGGAGAGAAGCAGTGACCCATTTACACCCATTCCCTAAGCACCATGGGAACCACGGGAGCATAAGGGGGTACAACACTGAAGGGGTGAGGGATGGGTACCCGAGGCTTCATGTGTGTGCAAAGTTTTATTGTAAAACGAAGAGATGAAATACGGCAACGTAGTAACATTTAAGATCAAAATGGTGGGTGTGGGTGTGATTCTGGGTTTTCCTAAGATAAACAGACTGCCAAACGCAAGAATGAGGGTCCCACAGGTATCTTCAACCACCAGCCCGAGTCAGCTAATAACTGAGGACAGTTTATTTCACCCAAAGAACAGGAGCTGCTAGGCACCGACTGCTAGGCACGCCCCCCTAGACATCCACACACTCATCTCCAACGCCAGGAGCTGGCATATCTCCATTTCACAGATGAGAAGACTGAGGCTCAGGAAGGTCTGATTCGCTGCCGGGGACGCAGGGGACGCAGCAGCCACATCGGGGCTCAAGGCCAGGTCCAGAGGCCTGACCCGACACACTCCCACGGGCAGCTCCAGGGCAGGGACCGGCCACCCGGGCGAGGGGACACGGGCTGTCTCGCCAGATCCATTCCTCTGTAAGGCACTACCAGCAGGTTCTCACACAGGGGCTCCCGCCCACGTGGCGTTTCTGGGAGCCCAGGCCGGCACGGCACCTGCATTAACCGCTCATGTGGGCTCAGTTTGAAGAGCAGTCGCCAACCTTAACCGTCCCTCCCTCCAACAGGGCTGTGAGCGTGAGGACCCAGGTCAGCCAAGTGCCTGAGCACCAGATCTGGTCACACGACGGGGTCCCAGCGCCAGCCACACGCCCTGACCCAGATGGAGGCCCAGTGAGAGGAAGTACTTCACCCAATGAACACGTAAATAGGTGGGACAACAAACCATGTCTCTCTCTCTCTAAAGTAAATAAAGACAAAAAATAAACTGTGGGAGAATTTTCCCACGGCATGAAGTGTGTAAAGCAGGATCCTTCTATACAGGCCAAGCTTCACAAAAGCCTACACACTGCCCTGGCGGACTGGCTCCGTGGATAGAGCAACAGCCTGCAGACAAAGGTCCCGGGTTCGATCCCGGTCAAGGGCATGTACTTGGTTGCAGGCTCCTCCCTAGCCAGGGTCCTGGTCAGGGCTCGTGCAGGAGGCAACCAAGCAATGTGTTTCTCTCACATCAATGTCTCTCTCTCTTTTCCACTCTCTCTAAAAATCAATGGAAAAATATCCTCAGGTGAGGATTAAAAAATTAATAAAAATAAATAAACCCCATCCACTAGCCAGGCCCCTGCTCTCAGGAGCGCAGGAACCACAGGCAAGTGGGCGCCCGCTGCCTCTCCCAACAGCCCGCCTGTGAGCAGCAGCTTACAAACTGCTGTCAGCGGGACCTGCCCACGTGACCCTGGCGTGCACACTTGAAGTCCACGTCAGAGGCTCCCCGTGACCGTCACAGGATCGCTGGCATCCAGGCTTCAGGTGCTCTAGGGGGTGACCAGTCACCATGACCTCCAACTGCGCCTAGGGTGACCCCCGCCCCCCGCAGGGTAAACGTCGTAAAGCCACAGGGCTGCACCCTGCGACACCCTCGGAAATACGCATCTCCACACCTTCGCCCAGCGTTTCCACGTGACGTGGGAGCAGGATGCCCGTGTGTAAGGTGGCGCTCCGGCTGTGCATGGCGGCCACAGGCGACAGCAGAGCTCCAGCGCCTGGAGGAGGCACTCTCCCTGTGGCTGCAGCCAGGCCGGGGCTCGGGGAGAGGGGTCTTACCGCTCCTGGCAGGGCTCCTGGAGAAGGCCAGTGCCCTGCCAGGAGCGGGGCACCGCTGCGTCTGAGCAACAGTGACGCCAACAGCGGACCCTCAGACGGAGGGCCCCCAGTGGTTCCAGGGGTTGGTAAAAAGTAAAATGCGGGGACGGGGACAGGGGAGGGAGGGTTGGCAATGGGACAGAGTGGAGGCTCAGGGTCACAGGATGCGGGGTCAAGCAGCCACAGCACTTCCGTACTGGAGTCCCCAAGCTCCCGACAGGTGACTGCACGGGGTCCCCCATGAGGGAGGAGCCTGCCCTCCTCTGACCAGAACGCTCTTCTCCTGAACACAGGCGCAAACACCAAGCACCAAGCCGATGCCGGAGGCAGGGCTGCAGGCAGGGCCCCGGCAGGGGGGCTCCAGTCCTAACCAGCCTGGATCCCCAGCACCAGGACCAGCTGACACCCTCCGTGTCTACAGTGAGAACAGAGCCAGCTGCCGCCCAGGACAAACCCCCTCCTGCCAGGACTCCTGGAGAAGGCCAGTGCCGCCCCTGGGAGCGCCCGACAGGCAGCAGGGGCCACGGAGCAGCTCCCCTTCCTAGTGAGTGATGGAAGGGCTGCTGCGGGCAGTGGGGACACCGGGGTCCCAGGCTCAGCTACAGAAAGAGCAGGTGCCTGCAGTCCTGTGTGGTGGGGAGCAGTCTGCTCAGACCAGAGGCGGCAAGGCGTTTGGTATAGTCAGCGCAGGAGGCCATAACCAACAGTCCTTTAAAAAGGGAGGAAACGCAGCGACGCTGTCGGGCTCCTCCACTGGGCGTCTGTGAGCCTCTGCTCCTGACCAGAGTTCAGGTGTATTTCACATCTCACCCTCGGTCACTGCTGGGAAGATGGAGGGTCTAGGGCGGAGACTGGAGGCGGTCACACTCGGGGGGGGGGCAGACGCAGAGGGGACGTCTGAAGCGGTGGGATTGCAGTAAAACAGATAAACCCAAGTGACACTTAAAAACAGAGAAGGAAAATCGGGAAGAGGAAGCCAATGAAAACACCGAGATGTGACATGTGGGTCATTTGGGGACCACCTGGGAGGAGCGGTGACGAGGCCGGCAGGGAGGCAGGGACACACTCAGGAGACACACCGGCTTCGAGACAGGAGGACAGGGGCCCCGCCCCGGAAAGCAGGCCCCCACTGCTCTCCTTCGGCCCCCTCCTCCCATCTGCAGGCATTCTCAGCCATTTCATCCGTGCTCGGTCCTGGGCCGAGTGGCCATGACTCTAAGAGGCTCGCAGTCACACTACAGACGCACGGCCGTGACATCATTTACATCCGGGGCTTCGCGGTGACGCAGCGGGTGACGGATCCCAGACGGCCTGTCATGGGGTTGGACCCGAGAGCTCCGCGCACCAGCACTTCCCGGAGAGGCCTGCGAAGGGCACCCGCGGTCCCGCAGCGGCTGTGCCACCCTCAGGGCTGCCACTGGCTCAGGGGCCCTGATCCAGCGAGAGGGCGCGAGGGAGCCAGGACCCCAGCACAGCGCCTTCCCAGGCCGCCTCCAGCAGCACGGAGGGAGGAGCGTGGCCGAGGCACCACGTCTGCCCACCAGGCCCGATGCAGGAGCTCACATTCATCACCCCCATTTACCACCATCCAGCACGGGAGGGTCTGCGTCTCGGCTTTATTAGACAGCGGGACAGGGTCAGGTGATCGGATAAAAAGAGCTCAAGCTGCTCAGGACAAGCGCCAGGGCCTGTGGAGAGAGACGGTCCTTCCGACCGACCACTGCCCCGGACGGGACTCCCCGCCCAGGCCCGAGCGCAGGCGAGCGGCGTCGGACAGAGCACACCCCTGGCGGGGGGCGGGGGGGAACCGCAGTGCGCCCGGGGAGGAAAGCCAAGCTTTCCGCAGGGAAGCCGCTTGCGCAGACGGTTAGGTGGACCTGCAATGAGAAAATACGGTTCAAAAGGCAGGTTCAGACGCACTGAGTTCTCACTGAAACACGAAAAACCAAAACGAGACCTTTCTCTGCATCAGAACAATGCCTTACACACATCACGGATCAAACACATTCGGTGAAGGCCCAGGCCCTTTCAGAACCTCCTGCGTATGAGCAAACCAGAGCCAGCCCCAAAGGCCCTGGAAGCACCGAGAACAGGCCGCGCCGAGTGCGTGCCCTGCTGCAGGCATCGCACTGAAATGAATCGCGTTCTCACTACCATTTTTTCTTTTTAACCGTAATCACCAGCGGCTGGGCAACTGAAATGGACATGAGAACTATATAAATGTCAAAAAAATATGTAAACCTCATTAATGTTTCCCAAAACTCATTTAGAGATAGAAACAGGTCCAAATAGATGCCTGTCTAAATGTACTGCAATTACGTTACAATTATTTTTCCAAATACACAGAGATGCTCTGTCTTTTCTCAGCTCATTACTGACTCAAACAATTCGCCCTTCTGGGATCAATTGTTTGCTAATAAATAATTGTTTACAGTCACAAAATGATGTTAGGAGGTTTTCTTATTAGTTTTCCTCCTGCACCCTAATAAGATTGAAAACTAGCTGATTCCCCAGAGTCTAACCTTAACCTCGCTTTGTTTAACAGCCCAGGAAATGATGAACCATCTGCTTCAGAAGATAATGGACGGCCAGGAGGAAATACTGTTTAATTGTAGATTAACCTCCTCATGGGCAGTCTGAGCAGCTTGAGAATGAGCAACTGTAACCAGCAGCAGAAAAAAATGGCTGAAGAGCCTTTCCTCTAGCAGTTAAGGTCCAGAAGAAAATGCAAAGGGATTTATTACCTATATTTCTTTACACACATATACTGCCACACGGCAACAAAACCAGCAAGGTCAGACTGACTCTCAAAAGCGCAGTCACTGCCTCCAATTTCGTTTGCCCGAATACCTTTAACACAGCAAACCACCAAGCCATCTCATGCACTTAAGAAAAGTGTTTGTTTACAAACAAAATCAATAAAAACCTCTTATCCCTTATTTGTAGGTTCCTATAATATTAAAATTAATGTTTTCTCCGGTTTCTTTGTTAATAGTAATAAATCCACCATTAGAGAGTAGGAACTGTTTTATCATCATCAACATGGCACTTAAGTAAATGAAATCTTGTCAAGTACATGGTGGCCTACAAGTTCAAAAGAGAAAAGAACAGCATGAGATCAGAATGGCCGGCCAGGACGAGAGACGAGAGACGAGAGACGAGAGATGAGAGATGAGAGAGATGAGAGATGAGAGATAAGAGATGAGAGAGACGAGAGATGAGAGAGATGAGAGATGAGAGATGGGGGGGAGGAGGGCAGAGAGCGCACAAATGCAAGCAGAGCCTTTGCCACAGACGTCACCTGCAGGCCTCCCCCCAGTCGAGCCTGTACAAGTACAATGTGGTCAATAGTCACACTCTGCCCCTCGCAGGGACTCACCAACTCAGCAAGGGCACGAGGTGCTAGACCAGCTCCATTCGGGAAGAGGGATCCTGAGCACCTGCCCAAGGACCTGCAGGGCCTGGTGCCGAGGGACCCGGAACAGGACGGGACCCGGGAGGTGCTTCACGGGTTACAAAGGCCTGGGCATCAGCTGCCCCCGAGCCTGTGCAGGTCATTAAGGAAAGCGCTGCCCTGCTGGCACCCCCACGTGAATGGTTCCTCTGTCAACCAAGGGCAAGGAGATGGACGACGTGTCAGCACGAAGGGACTGTGCTGTCCCAGGCAGGGCCACCTCACTCTGTTTCCATCACCTGAGGCCATTCACTTTGTGTAAACATCACAGAGACAACCTCTGTGGAGGGGAAAGCTCTGGGCAGTTCACGTTTAAATATCTTACATAGAATTTGCTTCAATAAATTATTCTTGAATTCCTCAACTTAATTTTCAAGCAATGAGCTAGTAATAACCCCCGAGACTCCAATAACAGGGCCTATTCAAGAAGAACGAGGGTTTGACATTCTTCCCTACCGAACAACCAGGCACAATTTTATCCATCAGACGTCTATCAACCCACGGATATTGAAAGCTTGGGAGAACAAGATAAAATCAACTCCCACCCCACAGTCGCTGCAATATCAAGCAGGCATCAACAACGCTATTCATGAATTTAGAAAAATTAATAAGCCCTGGGCTGAATGCAAGCAAAGGCTCAAACACAGGTGAAGCGTACTCACTTGGGTTTTGTTTCTGCATCTGTCACTTGGCGAATGAAGATACCATCTTCGGGATGCTCCGTGTCGTCCATTTCATACATATATGATGATGCTATTGCCAGCGTCGTCCCGTCGTTGCTGAAGGCCAGGGACGCGATGCTGGTGGGGTACCGATGGAACTGGCACAGTCGCTTTTTGTTAAACGGATCCCAAATATTTACAAATCCATCAGAACCACCTGCAAGTAATTTTGGAAAAGTCAAAATGATCCTTAAAAGCAGGTACAGAAATAACCATTATGGTCACAAATGGTTCTTTTAAGATCACACAGAGAACGCTTTCCCCAAGAAGCACCGTGCCAGACTGGCTCCCTCTCGATGTCAGAGGCAAGCACGGCCCTTTACAAGCTCTGCCTGCGCATCAACCTCTAGTGGTCCCCGCGAGCTCCCGCTCCCTTGGCTGCCGACACAGGTCAGCAGGCGGACTTCACCTGTGGCAAATGTGTTGTGGATGTTGTGGAAGGAAATGGCATTGACCGGGTAGATGTGCTCAATGTTGTTCTCTTTCAGCCGGTGACACTTGAAGGCATACTTCTTCTTCTGCACCTCGGGGCTCGGGTCCAAGTACTCCACCGCCACGCGGCCTTCGATAGAGCTCAGCACATAGCCCTGCCCAGAGGGAACCAGAGAAGCCGAGGTGGTGAGTCCACGTGCAGGCCCCGGCCCCTGGCACCAACACCCACACCCCACCCTCACCAAGAAAGGTGACTTCAGAAAGGATGGCCAGGTGGTAACAAAGTGTGGAAGCTGGACTAAGAGTTACAACTATTCCAAAATTTCACACTAAGACTTGGTTTTATTAAAAAAATAAGACTACCATCATTTGTTTTTTATGTCAAAGTAAAAGACAAGAAAAATATAAAATCTATTTAATTCTTCAAGGTATAAAAAAGATTTCCTATTGAAAAACTACTTATGGAGACAAGAAAACCAGTCAAATCTTACTTTTAGTTAAACTTCCATTATAAACTGGAGAAATGCGCTGACAAAATTTTAGATATGACGTAAAAATATTTAAAATGCAAGCATATTTTACTCATGTAGTTAAATCTCTAAGTTTGAAGTAACTGCAATTCCTTAATTTCAATGGAAATTGACAGTATTTTGAAGGAAAAAATGTGGCCCCCGTTTGCAGCCCTCGCCTTCCAGCTAAAGGAGCAGAGACTCGCTGACATCACTGCCTCAGCCCCACAGCCGCTAAGGACACGAGGACTCCGGACGGGCTGTTTGTAGTGACACTTCCTCCTGCGGACGCCCGGCCGCTGACCACGCCTCCACTGCGAGGGCCTGCAGGGAGAGGGGCTCACACTGCACAGGGCCAGCTCGTTAGCAGGGTGAGGAAAGGCTGACCCGTGCATGGACTCAGTGTTACAGGGCACTGCCTCTCTAACGCAGGGGCGTGCGTCTAAAACTCCCAGTTCTGCTGCTACACTCGCTGAAGAACTCCGTTACAAAAAAGAGAGAGAACAGCAAATCCCATAGCCCTTAATTTCCAGATTCGAGTTTGAATTCACTGGCGTGTAAACTGAAATAAGGCTCTCCTTGATTACTCTGTCTGTCAAAACTCCTGAACCAGGATCAGCAAGAAATCAGAAGATTCTATCAGACCGCTGGCGAATTACTCGGCCTCCCTGAACATCAAGGTCATCTCTAAAATTGGGTCAACACACTTCTTTTAACAAAGGATGTCAAAAACATACCTAACACTTTCTAAATCTCTACTCCAAAGAAAGGACAAAGTTTTTAAAAGCCAGCAAGCAAATCATTAGAGAAGATCCTATTATTTACAAATCCCAACACCTGGGCGAGGGGCGAGGGGCGAGGGGCGAGGCGAGGCCAGCACCTGCTTGTTGGGAAAGGCCCGGATGCAGCGCGTCTGGTACTTGAGGCTGGACTCGCGGCGCTGCTGCACGTAGCCCATGTTGCGCAGGTCCCACACCAGCACCCTGCGGCCCGCCGTGCCCACGATCAGCCTGTCTCCGGAGACCGAGAGGGTGTACACCTTCAGGGAAGACCAAGACTTGTAAAGCTCATCTACTTGCCTAAAAATGACATTTTGCCCCAAAATAAAACCCACCAATCCTAAAACCATAAAAAAGTTAGCTCATCAGGTTCCCACACCCAGGTACCAAATTTTAAATACCATTTTAAATACTATAGTTACACAAACCAACTAATCCATACAAAATAATAACCCCAAGATATTCTTAATATTTAACCAAGTATCATATGATGTACATTCTAATTAATTCCAAAAACACTTTTGAGGAATTCTCATTCCTAAAACAAATTAAATTTTTAAACAACCTTTCCAACCTGTTTCATTTAGTGACAATATCAAAGTATAAAAATACTCAGGAAGGAGACAATAAAGCAGAAAACAACTCAAGACGCCGTTCCAGGGGCTCGGGCCTTCCAGACCATCCTTTTCAAGTTGCGTTTCTGTGACCACCTCTGGAACAAGACTGCGGACCTTGACTCCCCAGCTGTCACACTACAGAACAGGCCTGTCCAGGGAGAGGGAGGAGCCGCCCTCACTGGCTGCTTTGGTGGCACATGAACTAAAACTGAAAGGGAAGAACAGGGATCGGGCACATGACAAAGCAAATCCTTGTGCCCGGACATCAGAGCGAACACTCAAGACAGAGTTCATCTTTAGGAAAAATTTAAAAACCATTTTCTCCCATCAAAATATTCTTCCCTCATAATGCCACTTTTCAATATTAAAACAACTTCCACAAAAATTCCTTTGTAATAAATAACAAATATACGCGAGGATTTAAAAGTGTTACTTTCAAATATGTATTTGGAAATCAAGACAGCAAATTCTTGAAAATGGTGGCAAAATGTATTTTCCTGATCATGTTAAATCTTTTTCTAATCTAGACTTCAAATACAAATTGTTTCTCTGATCATTTCTCCCTGTTAATGAGCAGCTCTAAATTTATTTTTTAGCAACTCTAACCTGATGTAATATTTTAACACCTGAAGAATCATTATAAAAAATGATAAGGCCTGTATCATGGTAAGACATCCCTTTAACACATTAAGCCACATGGTTAATCATCACTAATATGTTAACTACATACCAACAGTCAAAAAAAACAAACAAACAAGTTAGGGTTAACAATGCAACAACCCAATATCACCACAATCTGGCCTTAAAATTCAACAACTATTTTGACCAAGGAAAAAAATAAGGAATTAAAAAGATTCAAAACAGTAGATTTAATATAGACATACTTAAATATAGACATACTTAAATAAACCATAGTTTATTCAGAAAACAAGATGTTTGTAGAAAATAGAAATTAACCTAAGTCACATAAAACACCAAACTTAAAAAACACAGAACCCAGAAAGAAGTCAATTTATAACAGGGCAATCGGACTGGGAATTTTATCTTAAATCTTTATACAGGTGCTTTCTATCCCCACCGACCATCCATCACGCGAAGCCACTGTCAGGCTACTGACGAGGTCTACACATCTATCAAAGGAAGTATTAAAAAAACTGACATAATGAACCTCGCCGAACCAATAAGCAGCTTGATTCAGTGTGGCTGTCCATTACATGATATTCTGTCAGCAATTTATCACAGCTCTTAACATGTTACATGCAACCATATATCAAAACTAGAAACAATGCAATTATTTCATTCTGAACAAAGGTCTTGCCAGGTTGTAGATTCGACTCTGAAGTGACAAAACTAATGGCTCTTTGGATGCACTCCAGTATATAACCACGGCGACCAGGAGCTGAGGCTGTTTACGCGGAGGAAATAGAACCCGTGACGGATACCGCTGAACTGCTCCAACAATCCATCTCTAAAATTAACTACCGCCTGGTCACGTCTGATGAGGGTGCAGCAAGAATGCGCGATTCCACGCGCACTGTACAGATTGTCCAGATCAAAGGTTAGAATAAGACACAGAGACTCAGTTTTAAGCAGCTTGGTTCACTAGAGCCTTCCAACCACGCCTGTCGGTATTAAAAATAAATAAATAACTGGTAAAAGCCAGGGACAGAGGCCCCGGCTCTGACCACATCTGAAATGCTAACAGTAAACGCCAATGCAGCCTCAGTCCTGAGCGAATGAGTGATGCTCCCACCCGCCCCGCTGTGGCCTGAGCAGGCTTTGCTGCCCGCCTCCTCTGAAACCTCAGGCCTGGGGTAGGAGGCACTAGCACAGCCGGCATTCGGCACTCAGGCTACTGTTCTCCAGGACAAACAGGACAGCGGACAGAAAAAAGTTAAGCAAAATAAATTTTCCTTTGCATGAAAACACTTCTATGTATTTGGGTTTATAAAATAAACCGTGCAGCCGCAGCCTCTATAGTCCCCATTCATCTCTCCTGCACCAAGTCCCCAGGACCGTAACTGCTGCTATGAGCATGAAGAGCCTACCTTTTCAGGCTGAGAGAAGGTGCCAGCATTACAAGGAGTCCTGGGGTCCCACAACTTCACGGTCTGATCCCAGCTCCCAGTAACCATCACGTTGACTTCTGGGCAGTATTCAACACATCTGATAGGGGCATCATGAGTTCCAACGAGGTTTTCTACAGGAAAAACAGCACACACACCTAGTTTTACGACGCTGCTACACCGATTCTTCAAGTGCGCAGAGGGAAGCATTCGTTCCGCTGTAAGGAATCCACTTCCACCCACGCTCAGGGAATAGCTGCGCACAGAGAGGAGGGTTCCCCAGGGCCACGGAGAGCCGCCACGCCCCTGCTCGCCTTACAGCAGTTTGACCCCCTGGCATGGTGCGTCTCAGAGGCTCACCGGAACTTCAGATTGCGTTAAAATGACAGCGCATCTCATTGTCCTCACTTGATTCTGGATTCCTTTAAGTAGGGGACCTTGTTTAACTCTGTAGTTATGACTGTATCTAATTCTGATATATGGTAGGTGCTCAAGAAATGCATGCTGAATAAAGACATGAGCAGGTAACTTGTCTTCTGGACCTGAATAAAACTCATCAAATTAAGCCAATGCTTATAAAAAACTTACTAAAGTGGCAACAGATGATCTGAGACCTGGAGATGAAGAAAGCACGGAATCTTATGATTAATTCACTTGGTTTGCACGATGGGTCAAATTTCCAATACAATTTCTTTCCTTTCAATTTCAACTCTTCACTATCTCATTCATTCATCCAATTAGCACCTACTAAATGTCTACTACGTGCCGGCATCTATGCCAAATGCTCAGGATACAATAAAGAACAGTACGTGGTCTTGATCCTCAAACAGGAAAGCTGCTTGTTTAAAAATATATATCATTTAAAAAAGAAAACAGCTCATCAAGTTGGGTAATAAACTTTGGAAAATAAACAGCTAATTCCTTAATGATGGTCTCCAGCATCAAAAATGTTTTTAAGTTTGCTTTTCAGTGTTCTTTCCTGCTTTGGAACACACAGGACCTAAACCTGCAAACTAACTTACTCTGTGGAATAAGCTGCTGGCAAGCAAAACCACGCATGCAGCTGCCAGAGACCAAGCAAAGGGGCTTTCCTGCAAAGACCTCTTCTAACTGGGTTACTTTTTTTGACAAAATATTGTGCCCCTCCTCTACCCATCCTCCCACTGCCCAACCACTCATCTAGTCACATCTGTGGCGTGCGTCTCCAATACATCTTTGTCTAACGCATGCGTACACACCAAACCCCAAAAAGCAAAAATAATCAGCTCTGCCTGAGAGCTCTGTGCACTTGGCTCCACCACTCTCTGCTCCGCACCAAAGTCACCCTAAACATGTGGGTAAGTCACTTCCGACCTGGCCCCTACGCAACAATTAACTAAGAGATAATGTGCCAGCCTGCTGTCAGTCAATAAACGCACCTGAAGCCCGTTCTCTGCTAAGTAATGACCCGAGTAGGATTAACAGTCCCTGGACAAGGTGGCTGTTTCTTCTCAGAACATTAGACTTTTTAAAACCTACCCTCCCTCCATCTAAATTAAACTGGCTTCTGAAAGGAGAACTGAAACATCAGTCCATCCTGGAAGCCGCCAGCCCACCTCTGAGGACCAGGTCAAAGGCAAAGACCTAGGTGCCCTCATGTAAGCAGTGGGGGGAGGGGTGGGGTTGGGATCAGGGACGGGGAGGGGTACGGGGAGGGGGACAGGGATGGGGATAAGGATGGAGGTGGGGATGGAGGTGGGGATGGGGATGGGGATGGGGATGGGGGATGGAGATGGAGGTGGGGAGGGGGATGGGGATGGGCCTCACTGAAGAAGCACACACACACAGTGTCGTGATCAGTAACTTACTGGTCCAATCATTTGAATAGAAAGTCCTAAATGTAAGCATCTGTGCCGGTACCTCACCCACCGAGAATCAGGCAGTTCCACACCCCTCTCCCCAGGAAGCACCCGCACAAGCGGACCAAAGGCCGGGTTACCTTGATCAGTGTTCAGGTCGTGCATTTTCAACTGATTATCTAATCCCCCGCTCCAGGCATGTGTTGGGTCCTACAAAATAAAGTTTCGGGTCATTTAAAACGTACAGGGCTTTAGAGACGGTTTGCAAATCCCAGCCAGCTGCTCAGTTTGTGCTCAGGGTGACGTCCACGGGCCTTAACTCTCAGCAAAACACACAGCTCACAAAAGCCAGCCCCTAAGCGCCCCGGACACTGCCGTCGGGGAGTCAGCAGCAACCGCCCTTCCTGCACGGGTCCAACACGACGGTCCCGGGCCCGGGCAGTTCGCAGGGCTGCTCACTCCACCTTTCCGGGGGGACGGGGTTCCCGACGTCTGCACGTCCCCCCGCCCCCGCCGAGGCAGGCGTCGGGGAACAGCCCAGGGCGGCCCGGGGACCCCCGCGGCGGGGCGGACACGTACGTAGAAGGCGCAGTCCAGGACGGCGCCCGAGTGCTGGTACTTGAGCCGCAGCGAGTTGGCCGGCACGTCGTAGAGCCGCACCGACGTGTCCCAGGACGACACCAGCAGGAACTGCGACGTGTTGGGGCTGAACTTCACCGACGAGATGCCGTCCTCGGGCGGCTGGGTTCAGCTTGAACTCGTTCGAGCCGGTCATCTAGGAACAGGCGCCGGTCAGAGGCCCGGGCGGGCACGGGGCGAGGCCGGGGACGGGCCGGGCTCGGGGGACCTCGCACGAAAAGGACCCCGAGAACAAAACATCCGGAGAACGTTGGGAGCGGAGACCCCGCGCCCTGGCCAGAGCGCGCGCCCACAGGGCACGGACTTTCCATTCCCCCACTCATCCGCGGCCCACGGTCGGAACTCCCCTACCCCCGCCGCCCCAGTTCCCCGGCCCGCTCCTCCGCACCCCGACTCCAGCCCCGCGGGGCCCCCGCGCCCTCCCCCGCCGCGGGCTCCGCGCCTCGGCCCCTCCCCCTGGGGCTAAAAGCTCCTAAAATGAAAGGAAAGGGATGGAAGCGAAGCGGGCTCCCTGCGGGCGGCCCCGCCAGCCCCGCGCCCGGGGAGCCCGCTGGTGCGCCCCGCCGCCCTGCCCGCTACCTTGACTTCCCCGCAGAATCAACTGGGCCGCCACTCCCGCCGCCTCGCCGCGCTCGGAGCTCTCGCGGGCTGGGCCAAGTGGGCGGGGAGGAAGCTCCAGTGTTCGCCTGCCATTGGCTGATTTCAAACGCCAACGTCTCAGTCTAGGCAGACGATTGGTCCGCTCGGGCGTCGGTCAATCCAGTCATCCTCTTCCGGCTCAAAGGCAAACCGCGGCTTTTCCGATCACGTGGTCTCGCAGAGCCACTGAGCTGAGGCACCCCCGGCTAGTGCTGAGTGAAAACTACAATTCCCAAGGAGCATCGCGCCAAGACTGGGTTTACGCCTTCCCGGACATGTGTGCGGCACGCTGGGAGATGTAGTCTCCCTGGGACCGACGTCCTTCCAGTCCTCTAAATACTGACTAGGAGGGAAAGATGCTCTTTGGGGTTCAAAGCGTAGCTCCCTCCCCATCTGAGTTAATTTCAAAGACACAAGAACCCCATTTTGGTCAATATTTCTACAAAACTAAGTTATTCTCCCTTTCACTGGACATACATACACTCATGAAGGTAACCAAAAATTGGAATAGAGAAGGAAATATTTAATGAATTGCATTATTTTGCCCTGAGTTTTTTTCTCATTTTCCTGGAGTTTCCACCTATGAACCAGGGTCTCTCATTTCCAATGGATCTAATAGAAACTCATACATATTTATACTATGCTTTATCTCTCTATTGCATCTTTCCACAAACATTTGAGTGCCTGCTGTGTGCCAGGCCTGGTGAGCGGCTGGGAAGATGCATTAATCAGACCAGTCCTTGCACTGGAGGAACTCCCTGTCCAGCCGGGTGGACAGATCGGCGATCAAATAATTTGCAATGTGTTAAAGTTCAAAAGCTTCTTTCAGACACACGTTAAAATAGGGTCTTAAAATGCCAGCTACAAGCTTCTCCCTATCCACCTCCCCACCCCAACAACTCCCCAGAATTTTGAGCTCAGTTTGCTCCATTTTCAGTTTCTAGAATCCTCCACAAATAGAATAACCAAGAAGGTTGCCTCTGTAATAAGAAATAATTTGATCTCCATGAAAGAAAAGCAATGCCTAATTTGTAACTAGAAAGCTGTGACTCCGTTACTCTTAAACATCAAAAACACTGAAATTTTTCAAGGTAATCCATGCTATAACCTCTTTTTCACTGCCTTTTGTGAAAGAAAAAAAAAACCCTTATGCTATTATGTAACTTAGTATAAAGTGAGAGGAAATTGTTGAGGTTAAAGTGCATTACTTCTAAGGTGCATTGAATAGAGGGGAAAAGATTGGTCTTTATGCATTCACACACGCTGACTACGGTGCACATCTTTTTCGGATTCTTGACACAATAAATGCACACACCACCACTCTTCTCCCCACTGTGTGGTAATACCGCTGCTAAAAGGTCAGATTCTTGCCCTCCCTCCTCACCAGGCCTCACACTGGGCTCTCTCTCTCTCTTCTCTTTCAACAAGTTAATGGCCAGGTTAAGAGTTTTAAAATACAGTGCCTCGCCTCCATGCTAACTTTAGCTAAATAATTTTATGCCCAAATAATTTTATTTAGTTCCTTCTCCCCATTGCTTATTTAATTATATTAGTGCTTCGAGATTCTGAGCATGAATTATCCACTAATAAAATCTAAGTGTATTTCATTATCCACTGGTGTATGATTCAGGTCCCTCTGGGCATGCAGTTGCAACCAGACTCCATTTGAGTTTTAAGAAACGTCAATCTTTTAAATCCAGTTTAGACCCTGAAAGGAGGCGGATGATTTGGCTGATTATTCAAATGAATTGATGGTCATGAGATAGGAAATCTGGCCAAGATGGAGTCTTGAACATTTTAAATCCAAATGCAAAGGGGTGTGTGTGTGTGTGTGTGTGTGTGTGTGGTAATGCCTGTAAGAGAGAGGAATTCCTAGAAACTGATGGCACTGTTGGGCCCGTTGTATGCTGACTTCCCGACTGGTAAAGGGTGAATGCCCACTATATGACAAACTGTAAAGGGGTCTCCGCCCTAAAAGCCCAAGGGCGAGGCTTTGCCATTCAGTGAGTACCGTGGCCAGAGGAAACCACTTCCTGTAAGAGAAACCCAAGGAGGATACAGCGACCCAACACCTTTAAAACCATCATTTTGAGAAAAACAAGGTGTTGGCGTGCAGACAACGATGGTATGGATGGGATATTCCTATGCAAGTAGTGCCTTGAAGGCCATTTGGTTATTTCTGCATGAAATATTCAAATAGCAACTTCAGAGGAAAGGAAGAATTGAAAGTGGGCCATCTGGGAAGAGAGAAGGTCCTTGAAATAAAATAGGTGTACCCGCCCTGGCCGGGCAGCTCAGCTGGTTAGAGCATCTTCCTCATACACCAGAGATCCCGGTTCAATCTCTGGTCAGGGCACATACAAGCATCAACCAATGAACAACCAATGAACGCATCAGTAAGTGGAACAACAAATTCAT